GTGGGAAAAAAAGAGTGGAGAGGCCTATTGACTGTGTGAATGGAAGATCATTAAAGTGGAAGATATTTGGTGATTGCATGTTAATTGAATGGGGTTTGGAAAACCTTTGTCCTAATGGCAGGTTTAGAATGCTAATAGCTGGGTCAGTCTACACTGTGGTCTTTCATTGTGCATCACTGAGCCAGACACTTGAATCCTTGGTATTGTTCTTTATCGCCATTCAAGGGTGGCAAGGGCAAGTACAAGGGCCAGGGTGATGGTACACATGTAAAAAGACTGTAGTAATTATATTTTTGTGATTTTGTCATTTAAAAGCCAGTAAATGATTCTGCTGTTCTATTTTATGTATAATTCTTTGGATAGTTCATTTTATCTGTGAGTTTTGTTTCTTTGAAGGCATTATTAAGTCAGGAACCAAGTGACAGCTTGGAGATAACTTCCTCTGCTGCCAGTAAGAGTGCATCTTTCTTCCTGTGCTAAACCTGTTTGCAATGTGATAAACTGAAGGTGACTCTGATAGTTTTGGAAGAAAGTGGATGTGGACCTCATATGTGTAGCTGCCATGCTTCTGTTAGGTTGGATATAACAGTACAGTAACAAGTTGATTAATAATTGCAATTCCAAAAGTGTGTCTGGAGAGGGTAGAAAAAGACAAGCAATTTTGAATTTAAAATTGAAACTTGATTGAATATTTTTGTTCTTGTAATGAAGTTTGCCTTTACTCTTACAATAAATGTCACTTACATATTTAACTTTTTTTTAAATGATTAGTTTGGCTATAAATGTACAGTGGTTCCTTAGAAGTAATCTTACCAATTTAAGTATTTGCTGTTGGTAAAAAACACAGGTTTCTGGAACTCCATGGGCACCTGTAAAACTACAGTAATACAAATTCACATTCATTTCACTAGAAATCTAAACTACTGTAGAATTTATAAGAGATATCATTGTAAAATAACTAAAATTACCATATTTTGTAACTTTATTTACCTATTGGATAAAACATAGCATATCAGTAGTTCTAACTGTGGTTGCAGAAAATTGTATTTAATCAAATTTAACGAGTTAATACATTTAATGATCTGAGAGTTGGAGTGTTGTTGGCTTGGTGATAAAAATGTAGAAACATAAAACAGGTTAAAGACAAGAGGGCTTATTATTTGTTATTTCTTGCTCATTTGGTTGCCAGTAGCTTAGTGTTCTAAGAATTCTTTGTATTCCTTTATTAATCATTTCTTCATAGACTCTTCCATCACATGTCCGGGAAGGTGGGTCAAGACTTCCACAATCTTCTATCTAAAGAAAGCTCTCCTGTTTTTTTGCACTTACAGTAATTGCCACTTTATATTTTGTGTTGAAAATTCATACTGTGGTGATTCCCCTCAGGCCTCCCTTTCAAACAAATTTTTAATCTCGGTGGGTTCTTTTTTACCAATTAAAATGTATAAATTAGAATTCTTCATTGGATTGAAAAGGTCACGCAACATTCATTGTTTAGCAGTTGCTGCTTTTCAAAAACTTAAGCTCACTTTGATGTCCAGATACAGTGTAAATGTGAAGTTGGTTTACATTATGCTGCGATTCAAGAAGGAGAACTCTTGTTCACTAATTTGATGTAGAATGACCATCTTTGAACTAAAGTAATATTATTCATTATTGTTTAAGTTAAAAAAAGCAATGAAGACTTTCCTACCTTCATAAAATTGTAAGATCATTTGCCACTTTCTGTTTTAATTCAAGCCAAAATTTTGCAAGCCATTAAAAATTGGGTAAATTTAGTTAATTGCGCAAACATTTATAACGATTTAAATAAGCACAGTATTTAACAGTAGAGAACAGTTCTTAAATCCAGAACACTTTCCTCTTTATTTTTATGGTCTGTGAATAATGTACAGTATTAAATATTAATCAATGGAAGAGCAGTAGCTTATCAGAGGAGGTATAAAAAAAGGCATCAGATAGCTAATTATCTTTACTCCCTCATACAGACTGTATGAAACTTTTCCTCTTTCTGTGGTTAAGATGTTTCTTCAAGCATTTATTTTATTTATATATTTTGTTATATGGAAATTGTATATATGTAAAATTGAATTCTGATGTCTTTTACAAAATGTTTTCAGACAAAACTAACCTTTTAGATACTGAGTTTACCAATTAAGACCTTCTGATGTCATTGTATTAATCACTTATCTTTACTGTCACTTCATATCTTTAGAATTTAGGGCATGATGAGTTGCATAAATCCTTTAAAAAGGGTGTGCTGTATCACCAGCTGGTTGAGTGTCCTGATTAAGTTAAATATGAAGGCTGCCCAGAAATTAGTACCCCACTTTATTCTTGGTTGAAATCTGTTTGATGACTCTAAAGTCGACTAAATACCGTAGGAGTGGTTTGCAACTCAGAAACAAAAAGAAGGAAATTTAAATCTTACAGCAGAGAAAACATTTTTTTTATTAAATGTGGGGCATTACTCTGTGGCCACTCTTGACATTTGGCATGCTACAATATTGATGTAATCTAAAAATTAATGTACTGTATCTTATCCCTCACCCTTTTGAAATAGTTTTCTGGCCACAGGAAGGGACTGTATATTTACATACTTTCATACATTTAAGGTTCTGTAAATAATGCAATAGGTGTACAAATTGCAGAAGTGTTTCAGATTTTTTTCTCAGAGAAAAAATTCTCTCTGTGGAATTTGTGAAAACCTTTTTATAACAGCGGGTTTTCTTAAACTCTTTGGTGAACCCCAGCTTAAAATGTAGATTGCCTTTTTAAATGTCCCTTTCCTTAGGCAATTGCTATAAACATTTTCACTTGTATATTTCATGAAAATTACAATAATAAAGGCAGTAATGGAAATTCTTTTGTCATTTACTTTGAAGCTTCATTAGAATTGTATTTTCCTTTTCTGACAGCAAAAAGCTCAGGAAATAATGAACCGGATAATTCAATTTAGTGGCTTTTTTTGTTGTTGTTCCTTCATTCCAAGTGTTTGAAATCCCACAATACTGTTCTCATTAAAAAATATTAATAAGACCCTCTGCACCCTTCTATTATAGATCAGATCAGTATCACCACTGAAAGAGCAAATGCAGGGCCTGTGAGTTACAGAACACACATCCAGAATCTGCTGTATACTACAGGGAATGGTTAGATTTCAAATCTCTGTTCAGTGGATTTACGTTTGAACATGGCTCATAAACAGCATTGTGCACATCATGGCCATTTGAAGGAATTGATTTGTCAATTGATTTCATGTGGATTAGAGGTCTTCAGGATATGTTTTGTCTTAGTGCGTTTACTGTAGGAGAAACTACTGTAAATCCAGAGGTGTCTGTTTCTACTGACATTTTTATGGGATAGTGTAATGTCTAACCTTTTCAATCTAGAATACAATAACATCTTTCTAACATTGACCAAATTGACTCACCATGCTTTAATATTATACAGTCCTTCTGGCACAGAAAATGACACAGCCATGCTGTGATTTCTGCATGTTCCATCACTTGACTTACAGTAAATGGATATTTTGCTGCAGCGTGACATGTAAATTACACTGATCAGCTCCGAAACACCCTGTGCACTTTACCCGTGCAGAGACAGATCACCAGTTGAACATGCTGTTTGTGAATGCAAAGTATATTATTTGTTACTGAATCTCAGAAGTCATCTCAAACTTTGACGTCATCTTGGGTTCATTCTAACTGCATAATGTTGGCAGTAGCCTCAAATACTGTATGACAATTTCTGTGGGTTTGTCCATCTTTACTATATACTGTACATTATGCAGGGAAACAAGACGGCATTGGGATAGCATTTAGTTTTATAAACTCTAGACTCATGCACAGATTGCATTTATTTGATCTCAAAAGGAATATGATATACTGTATTTTAATGTTCTACGGTAGATAATGCAAAATAACCAGAAACTATTGCTGGTTTTAATAACACTTTGTAATGCCTGGCAGATGCTACTCCAAGGAGTGTGTTTTCCCTATTATACACAGCAGAGTGTGGTGCTGTCTATAGGAAGTATTGCTTAGTTTTACTGTCTGGCAGTCTAGTCTAGTATGATTATGGATAGTACTGTTTGTGTGTGTTTGATGGAAAGAGTGGTTAAAACTTGCGGAATGCTTGAATGGCAGCTCACAGGAAGCTGAAAATCCAAGCAGAGAAGTGGAATAGGCAATTAAGACTTAATTACAAATGGTAAGGCCAGGCACTGCGTTCATGCTGAGAGAAGACAGAGGCAAGCATGGTTTGGGGTTTTGGGTAACAGCTGTACCAAAAATAATGCTGTAGTAAAAAACGACATTATGCAGTACGTTTCTATTTATTTATAGAAATTTCTGTTAATCATTTTATTATATATTGGTCTGCTCTTTTTTACCATATGTAGTATTTACCTATTTTTCTCTTTTTTTTCTGGGTTTCATATGCTAGTTGTATAAGATTTTTATACATTAACATATGTGCCACTACATTAGAAGAAAAAATAAAACCTTTATTATTTTTCTTTACTATGAGGTGCTTCATACCACTGATGGTGATTTATGGTTGATATCTAAAAGTACATCTTAAAATATAGTTTTAGAATTTTGAAAGAATTCTTTGGTTTCCTTAAGACCTATGGACATAAAAATAAATAGATTCATACATTTGTTCTATGTCAAGAACACACAACTTATCAGATATTTCCTACTCTTGTTTTGGGAAGACTTGCTCTGCCTTATGGCTCAGAAAAAAGATCTAGAACATAATAATGAAAGATGAGTTACCTGAGGGAGTTTCTTATCCTGGATTTTTGCAAAACGATATGCTCCTTCTGCACACAAAAGTTGGAGATGTGGGTGGGCTGTTGAATTCTGCACAGATAATTATTTCAAGAAATAATTCACAGTATAAGGTTGATGGATAGTCCCCAGTGTTTGGGTTTGAGCACCACATGACTCCAGCATTAAAGACCACCTGGAATCTCACTGATTTCCCCTTCTCAGGCTGGGAAACCTCCAATTGAAGACCTCTTCACTGACCTTCGAGATGGGAGACGACTCCTGGAGCTCCTGGAGGGCCTAGCAGGCCATGAACTAGTGAGTCATTGCTGTTTCTTGCCATTTTCCATTATTGATACCTTTTAAGTAATTTCAAAGATTCTATCGCAGTTACTTTAAACTTTGGAGTCTTAAGGCTTAATCTCTGTATATTGAGTAGGACCCATTTGTTCCACTGTGGACTGTTTGTAATACTTGATGTTGTGAGGACGCTGGTTGTGTGGAGGACGCTGGTTGTCTGGAGGATGCTGTTGTGTGACTAGTGTGATAAGTATGTGAGAGAATATTTGGCACAAGATGATTCTGTTGTTCCCCAGAAACAGAAAATGGATTGTAACTGTTGTTTGTCTGTCCTGGTATCTGTAGAGCCTTTATGTACTAGGTTTCTAGACATGCTGGGTTTGACGTAGACATAACATGTATTAATTGATACTGTTTGTGAGACTTTAAAAGCTTGATGGATTAATTTAGCTTGATTATGAATTGATGATAATAAAAAATGTAAAGTTAAAATATTTGTGAATGACTACGCCATACTATAGGTCTTTTAATTTTATTTTCAGTTGAATTCAACTTCACAAATAGATCTTTTTCTTTTCTGTTTTGGAAAATCTACAGTTTTCAATTTGAAATTGACACTTCACCATTTTGAACTTTTGACTAATTGTGTTTATTTACAGGCTAAAGAAAAGGGCTTTACTAGGGTCCACGCGCTCAACAATGTCAACAGAGCATTACAGATTCTTCAGAAAAATAACGTGAGTGTGAATTGTGGCAGGATCTTAGAAAATAACACACCAAAAACACAGCTGTAAGGTTTTAAAACAACCACATGCAGTCCAGGGAAAACAAGAACTCCAAAACAAGCCCATAAAACAAAAGCCTAGGCTCTTCCTTGAGCAATGTCTTGCAGGTCTCAACTATCATATCCGGGGTAGCTACACTGCTTACAGGCCGCAAACTACAAAGTCATTCTCAAAACAGTCTCGCAGACTCGACCAGACCAGAGTCTCTCGCTCCAAGACTCTTCACAAAAAACTTCTAAACTTCTGTTCCCCCTCCAGCAGAAGGCATCCCCCAGACTAACGCTGGAGGCTTCCACTTCCTGTTATTTTTATAGAGTCACCTGACCAATTAGCTTCCTCCACGTGGTCAGGTGACTAGGCAGCAGCTCATCCCTTGAGAATCTGTGGAATGTGATCCTTATCGGGTCTGTGCTCTTCACACGACATACAGTATAAATTTAGCCATATTGTGAAGAATCGCAATGAGCAGCTGCAGCATACAGTATGTCCTACTGTAGGAGATTGCACAGGTGATAATCATAGTCACATGTTGATTGCATATCCTGAGGTATAACAAGTTTTGATCAATATTAGATCATCTTAGGTTGGGGACATTCATGTTTAAAATTAAAAGTAAAGTTGATTTTCAACAAGTTTGGACTAATGCTGCAAATGTTATAACAAACATCCAATTTAACATAGATTATATTGTAATCGTTCTTATAAAAATGTTTATTTCTGCATATTATTTTAAATAGTAATTATATACTGTATGTAGGAATCAGCTAATTTTATAAAACTAGATAGAATATTAATTGATTTGTTTTTGAGTTTTTGTTTTTTAATCTTTTTGTACAGTATGTAGTTCATACATAAAGATTGGCTTTGTATTTTATTATGTGTAATATGTAAGTTTTACATGTGTCAATGAAATGTGCAGTAATTCTGGCATAACTCCTAGAGTAAAATGTCTGATTGTGATCTGAAAATGTCAGAAATAAAATAGATTAAATTAATTTCATTTACAAAAAATAATAAATAAATATGTTGGCATTTTAAGAAGGCAAATAATGCCAGAAAATATGAAGCTGACAAGAGTTTCTGTTATATGGAAAGCAAAGATGCAATGCTGTGGTACATTATTACGGTACTGCTGCTTTTCCTGCAGGTTGAACTGGTGAACATCGGAGGGGCAGATATTGTCGATGGAAATCATAAACTGACGCTGGGCTTGATCTGGAGTATCATCCTCCACTGGCAGGTCTGACACAGAGGCTTCCTAAACACCAAGGCATAACGACTGGGGAATGAGCTTAACGAAGTAGAATGAAGTGTTAATGAAGTAGAATGAAGTGTTAATGAAGTAGAATGCTTTCCGTGCAAGAGATAGTTAAATTGTGTACACATGTCTATATCAGCAGGGATATGCTATAACCAAAATTCCCCCACCGGGCCTTGATGATTGGAAGTGAGTCTTACCGTTGTTAGTCCTCTGCAGTTTTATTTAGTCTGAGGTCAGCATGTTAAAAAGGTCAGGGACAAAAGCCGATGGTTATTCACTCCATCAGAATCTTTTTAAATCCTCCACTCGTGACCTGGCTCTCTCATGGTTCCACCCTTCCAGGCATCTTTACAAAGCCACCATTAACACTGCGCATAGCAAAGTTCTGCTAACGTCCTGTTTCATATGATCATTTCGCCTAGTTGCTTTGTGATCATTTCTACAGTTTAAAAAATACAGATTTTATTAAACTGTGAAATTGATTTTATTAGTTCACTGATGCCAGAACGCAATACATAAGAAGGCTGTATGTACCGTAGGTATGAAGGTATGAATCTTGAAAACTAATAGATGGACAGAAGGTCAATGCAATGTCTTACAGTACATGCTTGATCACAATTGTCAGGGTTTCTTTTCACTTAAGTAATATACAGTAATTTTAAGAGTTTTATGTTGCCTAGTAGTTCTGGCTAGAAAAACAAAACTGTCTGGAAATTCACACCTTTATTTCATACGAGTTCTGTTTTTTTTTATCTAAGGGTTACAATAATGCCTATTTAAAGAAAATGGCTTTACGATTTTTGCATTCTGTAATTTCATGTTTTGTCTTTATAAATGTAGGAATTTGTCAAGTATTTTTCACAGAGGGTCACAGTACCCTGAGGCCTAACTAGCATCGAATGGATGCCAGTCCATTTCAGGGCATAAAAACGCACACTCACTCACACGTGCAGGGGCTATTCGGATTTGCCAGTTCACCTGCATAGCATAACTCTGAATTGAGGGAGGAAACTGGAGCATCTGGGACAGCCAGGTGGAATTTGTCATGCAATACCACATAGCCCCATTTTTATTTCTAAGGGCATCCGCTGTGACTGTGGCTTACAAAAAAACAGAACTCAGGGAGAAACGTGTCTTGCTTTCAGGTAAAGGATGTGATGAAGAACATCATGGCTGGACTGCAGCAGACAAACAGCGAGAAGATACTGCTCAGCTGGGTGCGCCAATCAACCCGTGACTACCAACAAGTCAATGTTGTCAACTTCACCAACAGCTGGTCAGATGGGCTGGCGTTTAATGCGCTTATTCATAGCCACAGGTAAACAAAGAATAATACAAGAGCCCCCACACAAAATATGACCTATCATTCATTATTCTTTATAGCACCCATATGTAATATCCCCCTTGTTAAGGGACCACATATTTTAACAGTCCTCCTGGAAATAGTGTAGTTGACTGGAAGATCAGACAACATTCAAACAGTTTAATGTTACAGCAGGCAGCATAAACTACAAAGCAGCCAATTAGGCTGACATTGTAGTTGTTACATTTATGAATACACATGAATTATTAAAGGTTCTCAGCAGACACAAAGGCGCAATATGTTCTGTTCAAGAATATACTGTATAATATATAGCAGGGCTTTCAGTCTGAGCAGCGCTGTAATAGGCTTCCCCACTATCACTGTAAATGTAGACATTATTGTTCCTTGTTTAGCATGAACAATTCTGGAAACCAATGTGATTTCACAGAACAGGAAACATTAAGTGTTAAGAAGCAGAGAGACTGAGCCTTTTTATAGCTTGTTTCAGAAGGTTAACTAATATGCTATTTAGAGTTACTGAAAGCTTAAAAAAACTACAATTTACTCCTAATACATGAACTTTAATAGAAAATGGAAAAATCCATACAAAAGGGTGATAGTCACAAATAAAAAAGTCCTTTAATTACCCAGCACAGTATTTGGGTATCGTTTATGTCTGCCTTGTCCATGTGTATTAAACAGGTGACCAGGGCATGTTGAATTTTGTGGTATGGAGAGTACCTGTTTCCCGGGTTATGGATATTTCATCCTGCTCCCTAGCCCAAACGTGCCTAGTTTCATGTTGAGTGAACTTTGATTTCTTTAGACTACTCTGTTTTCCATCAGTGTACTGTAACATTGCTGAGTTAAGGCTGTTGCTCTGTCTGACCAATGCTGAAATGTACTGAAGATAGATGCTATTATTTAATCAACATTGTACTTCTGCACTGTAGCTCCTTACTGCAGTATGTGCTGAGATACTAAGACTTCAGTGTGTCCTGAACTCCATATTTTAAGTGTTACCTGAAGGTCTAATTTCTAAGGCATCCTATCACACCTGCCCTTTATACATTTTACTGTCTCCATGTGGTATTTAATGTGGTCTTTAAGATTCAGCAGTTCATGAGTTCTTCTTGCTTCTCTTACAGCACTTTGTTTTATGAAAGCACTTACTGTATACAGTATGTAAAATGTAGAAGTTCAAATCCAAAAAAGGAATAGTTGTTTTAATCGTGGTAGCAGCAGCAATACAATAGTAGTCATCTTACTTAGGAAGTATTCAGAGAGGAACACAGGGGAGTGTATTTCTCAAAACAGTCTTCGCCAGAACCATGACCACAAAAGGCAGCCCCTACATACTGGCCATCTACTGTATATATTAGTCAGCCTGTCAAAGCAGAGTCATTGATCTGTATCATTCGTAATAGAGAACAGAAAGTCTAAAATGCTGTAGTTAATAATATCTTTCAATGTGCATCGGAACTGAAAGAAGCTTTCTGACAGCAGCTTGAGATCAATTAAATAGTTCAGAGTGCTGCCTTTCAAGATGTTGTCAGGCAGAGAAAAGACTGTCAATGTTCAAGACTTACCACCAAGGAAAAACATTAAAAATCGGTTAACAGTGGGCATGTCCGCTCAACCAGAACACATCTCTTCCGTAGATTGGCACGACTAAATCAACAAAAAAATCAAACAGTTTTAAATCAGTTGAAGGAATTATTATTTTTTTTTTAATCTGAACTCATGGGTTTTAGTAATAATGCCTTCCCCTTTCTGTTTATAGCTGTTTAAATTATTAAATCAAATTGTGAGCTAGTGACGTGGAAGTCTCTGAGCTCGAAAGAATCTGAGATGATTATCAAAGAGTAGAGTGAAATGTTAGGTTTTCCAATAAAATGTGTATCTGTGAAATAAACAGCATTTCTGCTGACAGCATGGGAAACTGAGCCCTGAAAATGGTGACATTGAAATAATACTTTCCTTCACAGTGATTTTAATATGGTTTTCTAAAACCTGTCTCTTCCCGTCTTGAACTGTACACAGTTCTAGTACCCTTTCAAATCAAGATAGACAAAATAAACCAATGATAGCCCCACCACTGACAGCCAATTACATCTGCCGAAAAACCATGTTGACAGACTGTGAGTCTTTGCCCACTTTTTCCTGGATACTGTACCTGTGTACATTGTCACTGGAAGAGCCTGAGCATGAACACTAGAAGATTCTGGAACATTAACGCTGAAAGTGAAGATATCAGTGCAAGCATATCCGATTCCTGAATTACCACACAGAGTAACACGGTACATCATCAAAGAATGAATTGTTTCCAAGTATAAGATTCACCTACCATGAATGACTGCAGAATGCATGAAATCTAAATCTGAAGCAAGAAAATCTCTCATTCTGTGTTATCTGTGTGTATGTTCAGGTACAAACACAAATTTCTAACTCTGAAAGATTAAAATAGTTGGGTTTTGTCAATGTTACCCGGAATACAGTTTATACTAGAAAATCTCCTTATTCGGAAACCACAATATTTTGTCAGGTAAAGAGAACAATCAGCTTGTCAGTGAAAAGATCAGTCATCTTATCAGGTATCTTCTATACAGTACTCCAGCATCAGGCTACTGTAGATGACATACTGTATTAAAGCAGGATTCGTGACTTATAAAAACTTACTTTTGTAAAACACAATAGTTTTAATAATGTGTTTTCCATAACTACACATAAATCCTGTCTATGCCTTGACAACATCTTCAGGACCTCCTGTGGACTATGATTCAGTCTTGCCTCATGTAAGATTTGTTCTTGCTTTGGATCTGTGACGTTGCACTCCCTGGACCTCTATTTATAGGACCATAATTTCAGAAGAAATTAATGCAATCCATGGAGAGAGTTGATTGGATTAATGATCATGCCTCCTCATGTAGGCCTGACCTCTTTGAGTGGAGCAGCGTACTGAAGCAGCAGTCTGCCATTGAGAAGCTGGACCATGCTTTCAGCACTGCCAAGCAACACCTGGGCATCGAGAGACTGCTGGATCCTGAGGGTAAGAGCTTTTGTTCCTTTGTATTCTCCAAAATACATTGCTGATGCGCAAGACATGATGATTAGATACTAGAAACTGGCTTTCTAATTGGTGCAGGTTACAGTAAAATTAGTCCATGCATACTAGATTCCCTGAAGGACATTAATCCCCCAAAAGGAAATGCAATAGATTGTGTTCCTAGAAGTTTCTAAAATGAATTGTTACTAAGTACAATATTCATCTTCCATGAAATGCTGTAGGATAGAAAATAGAAAAGAAAAGAAAATCTCACACCCTGTGCTTCTTTCATTTAGGTTCAGGTACAAACACAAATGTTTAACTTTGAAAAATGAAAACAGTGTTTTTTTTGGTTCCTAATACAGTATAACCTTTCATACTAGCTTTGAAGGACAAAGGAAAAACCGCTGACTTTAACAATACATGGAAGATGTACTGTTAGAATAATGTGCATTCTTTTGCCCTTGTGAAGGTTTCAGCAACATATTTTCTACTTGTGAATGAATAGATCCATTGTCTTTTTTGTTGGTAATCCAGTATGTGCACAGTACAGTATATGCTGTTGCTCTCCGTAATGTCAGCTGTAGGGAGGTGGCCTGTATATTTCTAATCTAAGCACACAAAATGAGGCTACATCCCTGGTGTGTTTCAGAAGTAGCCTTATTGGCTTACCAACACATTATATGGGTCATTTTAACAATTCATTGGACAGATTGTCATATACAGGGAATACATATTGTCACAAATGGGGGGTTACGAAACTGGTGAACATCAGGAATTGACCGAACAGTTTAGTCAATCAGTGAAATAATAATTCATAACCCCCAACTCGTACATGATTTTAAATGATCTACCCGAGCGGCTGGTATAACTAGAGGCACGTTATTCTTTATTCTCTGACACAGCTTTGTTGAGAAGAGTAATAATCCAGGCACACTTCGTCAAAACCAACATTTATTACAATAATCTACACAAGACACAAAACATACAACATGCAACGTTACATTATATTAAGTATTTACAGACAAGGCGTTTCAGAGGCCTTACATTCAGGTCACCCAGAAAACCCCAGACTGCTACTAAACACTAAACTCTTAATATGCCTACAGGGGCCACACAAGAGATGAGCTGCCTTCTAACTAAATACAAAGCAACCTGCAGTTAAATCTCTCTCTCTGCACCCTGGATGCCACAAAATAAATGGGAGCCTATATCCCTATCCATAAAATGCGCCATAATTAGGAATGACATTTCTAACTGAGGTATCTTTTACCAAGGAAACACAAGTTCCCTAAAAACACAGAAAAGCAGGCTCTAACAGGGCTTAAATACTTAGCTCCAGGTCTGGTTTGGATGATCAAGAAGTACAGTAGTGTCTGTCGCTTGGCACAAGCTTCAAGTTCCAACTCATGCGGACTCCTCGACTTGTTTCTCCCTTCTTCCTCCCCTCTCTTTTCTGCTCTTCATGTGATCTTACATTGTCTCTTTCTGTGCTGCTCCTTCCCAATCATTAATCCACAACTTCCCTAGGTACTGTATACTAAGGTAAACATTACCATGGGACCCCCCAGACCTCAGCAAACATCCTCTCTCCTTTCAAGTTAGAAAAATTTACTCTTCACCAGTGTCACAAACGTTACCTAAAATCTAAGAGACACTTCTCAGTCACTCAAAGCTGTAAAAATATAATATCCGAAGTTTGTAACTATAAGAACAGTTTTTGCTTCTGCGAATTGGCCAACCTGACCAATATCACTCAACTTGTAAACCCTGTTATTATAGACCCTCCTTGTGGACCACTCGAAGTGTCATTTTTCAAACCCTCTTGTTACCAAGGAAGATATTTTTCCATCCAAATTATGCCAAATACAAAATGTTTATGAAAATATTCTATAATATTCACATTCTACAGGTATTTACTATCCATATTTTATCAAGACAGACTGATGTTTTAATGGTAGTTCTCAAGCAGTCAGTAGAATTTTTTTTTCCTTAATGAACAATGGCTGTATGAACAAGACATTATGTAAATTATAGTGTGCCATTGTCCCTAATTTGTAGTGCTCACAGGCCAATTGGTATATTTCTGTTACTGGGCATTCACTACAGTTAATGAGGCAGTATAAATGGATAAGCATGGCCTTTTTCAAGCCATTTATTGACTCTGGTTGGATACATTTTAAAACTGCCTTTCCACCCGACTTTTGTTTTGTTCTCCCCAAAGAGTCGTTATCCCATTGGAAATGTAAACAAATTAAAATGCTTCACAAATCTTGTAATAACATCACGCTTTTCTTAAAATTGTTTTCAATTTTGAAACACTATGAAATTATGATGCATGAAATAAAGCTACAGTATACAGTGTACTGTAGGTGCAATGTTTATTTAAACAGTTCGTGAGCCATTTACTGGGTTAATTTGTGGTGTAAATAGCAAAACAGTCCCCCAATCAAACAAACATGTATGTTAAAACAGAGCTGTACATCAATTCCAAATACCTACAAATAAAATAAATAGTATCAAGCTCACAAAATGTACTAAAAAAAATTAAATCCGGCAAACAAACAATTCACTCAAATGGTAGAAACCATTTCCAAAACAGAAACCATTTTACCTCTAAAATGTTCTCATGCCACATTATAATATTGTATCACAGAACAATAAGGGGGCGAGTCATTATCTGCTGTGCCAGTTGTGGAGTTAATAAATTCAGCATAATGTATCAGGTTAGCTTAGGATTACAAATACAGAATCACCACAGTATGTGTGTAGAGGGTAAGGATGTCTCTGTTCCAAATAGTCAAAACTGGTAAAAAGGAATCTTTCTATGAAAAAAGATATCGAAATGATGCAACGTCTGTAATTTTACAGTACTATACCAAGGAAAGAAACGCAAGCACTATAGAGAGGAAGGGTGCAGGAATTCTGAAACTCAATATGACACCAAGGCTCGATTTACCTTTTTTAATTTGTTCCTGGAGCCTCTCCTTTGCAGTACAGGAACCTGGGTCACATGTGCAATTTTAAATAAAAAAGACAGCAATACTATATGTTGACATATAATGTGTGATATCTTTATTTAAATTTGTGTTCATGTTTTAAACTCCATGTCACATTTTTTTCACGTGCACGGTAATACTGTAGGTCTCAGTGCATGAAGTTACAGAACTGATGTCACCTTACTCTGAATTTTACACAGTGCAGAACCTTTCTGTGTGGCGGAGTTGGTCGCAGTCTGGGGAGTGTTCAGAGCCTGTGTGCCAATAAGATCGAATCCCAGATAGGGCACTGAGATCTTCACCCATCACACACACAAGGTTTAACAGAATCATCCACATAGCCTAAGAGCGCTTCTCATTTAGAAAAGTGACAAAAACAGTCTCTGGATTAGAGGTTTACTGTAATGTACTTCGCAACTGTGGTACACAGCAGGTACAGGGACAGATGTGTGTCTGTGCTCTTCAGTACCTTCTAAGTAAAATAGTTTTTACCATTAAGGATTTTACAAAAAAATATAATGAATTTGAGTTGAAAATTGTATGACATTTTGCTCCTTGGACACCTGAGGGGGTGGGCACATTCATCTTGTACTTTGCTAATTAAGAAATGTTATTGATTGGCAGCCTTGTAGCTTCCCAGAAGTGCGCTAGCAAATTTATTTTTTGTGCATTATTGAGTATTTTTTAAATGTCCATTGATACTGTACATGCTTCCATGGTAGACACACATTTTCGGTTTAAACACACACAAAAAATGCTATTGAGGTCAGTTTGAAAGTCAGCTCATTCCCACTCATGGCTGAATGAAACATTTATCATCAGAGGTCACACTAGCATTTCAGTACATCCTTTCTTCCACTAACTACATTTTCTCTGAAAGCTTTGTTTATTATGTCTCTGCAATGTGGAAGGAACAATAGGTAATTCATCCACATATCTCTTTGACTGTGTTGTGAAGTTTCCAGCTCCCATTGTATACCAGCCATATTTCATACTGCAAGCCAAGATGACTTTGATTTTATTTTGTATTTCTTTTTGGAATCAAGATAGTGGAATTGGAGTGTAGCCTGGAGGTACAGCTAAATATACTGCATGCAATCTTGGAAGCAAAGTTCAGCACCATGTATAGCTACCTATGTCCGTTCAGATGAGTGTGTTACTGTGAGACAAAATGTTCTGCTGGCAGTTCTTACACAGCTCTGCCCTAATGGAATAATGTTTATACTATATTTGTTAGGTTGATGACAAATATATGTACATATTATAGTAATATAAAGGCTGCAGGATTTATCCTGAACTGCTGATTTACTGCATTGACTAGGGTCATTCAGCCTGCATATAAATGTCATTCAACAAGACAAAACATTGATGAATATTGCAAATGCCACTCTTACACTGTTACAGACAATGTGGTTTAGGCTTCAGAGCACTGTAGTTACACATGGCATATGCTTCTTAATGTTGCCCCAGGCATGACAGGCATCAAGTTGAGTGAGGCAAAAAGTCAACTAATTAACCACTTTGATTTCTTGCCATTTAGTAGAATTTATAAAAAGGTGGAAAGCAGACTGCAGTATACTGAATGTCAAAGAATAAATAAAAAACCTATCTTGAATGCATTGTTGAGGTCAAATATAACTCTGAAAAATACACTGTATAGTTTAATAAGTGTTCCCTGTATATTCATGTCTGTGGTGTCCTTCTCAGGTGTTCATGTTTGTTGAAAAAAAGTATTTATTTTCACCAGCAAAATGGTTCATCCAAAATTACATTGTAATAAAGTGCTATTTGTGTTTGGTGGTGATCAGTAGTCAGTGGCTACTGCTGACTGTTGTTTAAAATTGTGCTCTTCTTTTTGAACAGGAAGAATCCACTATACAGTATCTTACATTGGAATTAGGAAAGATGCAGTGTTGCTATAGAACGTGAGACTTTCTCCGGAAGCTTATACTCACCTCTTTGGTGGGTCAAGCTTCAGAGAAGACCCTGAGCTAACAGAAACAT